TATCAAATACTTTCCAAATATCCATAATCTGTGGAAAGGGTTTATAGACATCAATACTGATGTAATTCATAATATATCCCATATATAGCGGTTGTGTACAATTCAGTGACTGTACTTGAGTGTGCCAGGTATAATCAATTAGCGTGGTGTCCAACGAGGTGATTGCACCTTGTCTAATTAATTCATATTTGGATATATTTTGTGGTTCTTTCCATGCTGAACACTCAAAAACAAATAGGTTCACGCTAAACTTGTAATAATTTAATAACTAACAATTTTAAAATTAATTATAAAATGTACATCACCTATAATTATGGTATCTCCCAATCTGGACTAATATGGGAACTACTAGTGAATTGAAATATGCCAACCCTTTCGTAGCATTTATTTCTAAAAATTCTATCTGATAGTAATATTAAATATTTTTATATATTGTTATTATTGATAATAATTTAATACAGTATAAACAATATTTTATACCTGGTCATTAAATGTCATTAAATGTCATTAAATTAAAACTATTGTCACGAATCGGTAATTCACGGGATTTGAGGTATGAATTGCAGTCAATATAAGACATATTCACGGATTCAATGAATTTATGCCACAATCCATAGGAATGCCTTTCTATGAATTCAAATGGTTTACCAAATAAATATATTAATTCTCGGATTGAAGTCATTGTTTTTACAATTATAATATAATTTAGTAATTATTAATTTTTAAAATATTATAACATTTCAAAACATGTTTTAGATTAATTCTAAAAGTAAAGGCTTTTATACATAATACAGTATATAAATACACATTTTGCACACAGTATGCTATCAGTATAAAATAAATAAATTCATATTTTAATAATTTAATATAGATTAAAAAAATACATATTAAATTATTATCATTATTATTTTGAACGCCTAATTAAAATACATGTATACAATATGAATGAAATTAATTTGAATATATTCAGAATTCAAATACAAAACAGTATGGTAATTCTGGTAAACAAAGTCAAATACGAAACAAATTTAGCCTGGTAACTTTCCATTAATATATCACAGGATGAAATACTAAATAATGGTTTGCTTTAACCGTTTGTATGACTTGATTAAAACTACTTAACGACACAAGTAGTTTACTAATTTACTAAGGTTTTACAAATATATATATATATTACAAATAAATTATTATATATGTTATTGTATATTTAGTATATGTGGTATATATTGTACTGAAAAAGACTTAACTAAAAAATAATCAATATATCATGTGAAATCTTTCAACTCATATAAATACATATTTAATATACAACTTTATATTACTCAATTAAATTATATGGAAATTAAATCGACCCTAAAATAAATATTATTCAATAAATAATTAATTTTTGTTTACTGACTTTACAGCTAGAAAATTAATATTATATATTTTATTAATAAAATATTATGTAGTGTATGAATTATGATTGTATAGATTTGGTAAATATTTTAGGTTTAGTACTATTTATAATAAATTAAAAACAATGTTTGTATAGTATTTCGCCAAACAATACATACAAACAAATGGCAAAACAATAGC